ACCCACCCGACCTCAGCCCTGGCGGAAGAAAAGCACCTAGCTACGGATGACCTACCAGGGCTTCTCATTAGGCCTTTTGGGAGCAGTATCTGATGGTTTCTCAAATTGTTCCACGCATTCGTCCCCACCGCTGGCCACACTGCTCCCCACTGGCATTCCCACTAGCTCCTGCTTGGCACCAAGGTCGTAAGTTCTGCGTGAGAGCCTGCATCAGCCGCTGGCTTTGCCCACATTTTGCGAGCCACGTAACTAGGAGCTTCCTCAGGATTCTACACCTCCTCCTCAAGCGAACCGCGACCCCGGGAACAACTTCCGCCGACAAGCCAAACGCTACGTCCACCACGAAACTCTCTGCTCAGGTGTTGCCGCGTGGGCCCCTGGTAGAGAGCGGCTGAGCCAACAACATGCTCTTGATGGGTTCTCTCTTCTAGTACGGCTGGCAGCAGGATAGGTAGACGCCACTGGGTCTCATGACCCGTTGCTGCCCATTCTATCTCTGGCCAAAGTACAATCCTTCTGCTTCCCCGTGGAAGCCGTGGGAGATCATCCCGCCCCAGGACCTATTGTTGTTATCACGTCCAGCTCCAGGCAGGCTAGCCATACCAAGAAAGCTTTTCTTTTCCCTCCACCCTGTGTCATAGCCCTAGTTGCTAGTTCCCACAGACTAATGTAAGTACTTGTCGAGCCTTGGACCTAATAGTACCTGCAGTGCGAAATGACAAGCAAACGGATATTGCCAACCTACCCAAACGACGCTGGCGACTTGAGGCTTGCTGAGGTTGGCTAGCATTCCATTATTGGCTCAATCTACCCTGCCTACCACGTCCCCAGCGCCCCCCTTTTCCCAACCCTAGCTCTTTATTACGGATCTGCCTCCAGCGAGTTGGCCAAGCAGGTTTCCCTTCTCACGGGGATGGAGACCAGGCTCAAAGATACCTGTTGGATTCCTCTCTGGACGCAACTTGCTTGTCACACTCTCATGCAGTCACACTCGACATGCCAGTCTTTTCCCACATCTGTCTTAGCTTTGTCTGCACATACCCTCCGAAAGTTCACTCACCTCGGGAGACCCAACCACGTTGGAAACCACCGGGACCCCACCTCGGAGCTGCTTTGGGCGTCTAGCCACAGTCAGTATCTTTAGCGACAAATCTCATCATATTGGACCCGTCGTGGCTGAATACCATGATGCAAAGTCAAGCCCTGCCCCCAGACTACCGCTAATCCCTTGCCATGGCTTGTTCGTAGATGCACCGTCAGCATATCTCACGTCCTGGCAGAGATGCCCACAACGGATGGGGTGGTTGGATGTATCGTAGATTAGAAATGGTGAGCTATACACGCTGGTGTTATGAGTCCACTTCCCAGGTGATTGGCCAGGTCGTGCTCCAGGATTGGACATATTACCCCACCTCCTCCTCTTGGCCTTTGCAACTATCCTTCTACATATATTGCAGCAACCAGGACATGCAAGTTGTTGCTTATTCCTGGCGGAACCTGGTAGGTTCAGCTTGGATTACATGCATGGCGCTTTCAAGACTGATGCGTCGGTAATTTCTGGCTCTGAGAGGATTGCTGTCGTGTTTCAGCTCTTCTCATTTTCAGCGACTTGGTAACTTTACTTCATTCCGTTTTCCTGGTTGGTCACTGTAACCGTTTTTCTTACGGAAGCAGCTGGCTGGCTATTATCAGATGCTGGGCGGATATAAGGCCCTTTTTCCATGCATTTCTTTTCTTTTTCTCTCTTGCTGCCAACTTGACGCTAGCAGCCCCCCTGCCTCCACAAAAGGTTAATCAGTGATTTCATACGGCGCGGGAGATGAAGCGGCTTACACAGCATGATCACCAACCCATTTACTTCCAGCCTTGATAATCAGCACCCAGCACTTGGGATCTCCGGCAACACAACGCCGCAGATCCTGCTGCTATGCTAATATGAACGGACCTGTGTTGCAATGTACATAGCCAGGTAGCATAGCAGTGTTACGCCGCGGCCACCAACTGGCGTTTGTAAGTACTGTACCGTACTGTACGGTGCTAGTCGCCTAGCTCGCGGGCTGGGTCAGTAAGTTGGTGCTTCAAAGGCCGTTCCTCTTCAATCACCCAACACCCCACTGTGCGTCATGTAGGGCCACAGGTGGGATGTCTCGATACCTGAGTAACCTGAGTTACTTGCGGGAGTGCAAATGCAGCAGGCATCCCAATCAAAGAGGACGGAGGTCTGTCTGCACGGATCGATGACCCCGGGAAGCCCAGCATTGACCCCGAGGGCCTTCCATCAGGTGGTTGCTCTTCTCGGCAGGCACTCCACATCACACCCCCAAAAGAGCGACTGATCTTGAGCTTGTCGTTCTCCATTCACTGCCGGGTTGAGGTACCTCAAGTATTCCTACACCCCCTCCCCTCCCTTCTCCCAGAGACCTAAAGAGACGCCGCGGGCTGCCCTCTTATTTTTCTCATCCTTGCTTCTTCTGGACTCGAGGCCCCAGTTTATTACTGTGTCCCCTTGACGGCGTCTTCATCGGTGGGATTACCTCATTACCCATCCCGCACCCTCCTCAGTGCCCACCGGCGACCCCTCGGCTTTGTACGTACGTACTGGCCTCGATTTCGAGCTCTTTTCACCGCATTAAACCAACCCCTCCACGCCGTTTCCATCGTGACAGCTTCACGTTTGCAAGCTCGCACTGCTACCATGGCGCCTGTTGAAGACCAGGTAGGTGTATGACTGCCCTGCCCTGCCCTACTTCCCTTCTCTAACCCATTTCCCCATCCTTCCCTCCACCAACGTGCAGGCCTCGGCGCCTGGCTTCCACTTCCCCCTCCGCGTACCAAAATAATGAAGCTGACCAAGATGCGATTTACTAGCCCGAGGATGTTCTGGACAGCAGTCTTGTGGACTTGAACACCTTCAACCAGATCCTGGAGATGGACGAGCCAGACGACCATGAGTTCAGCACCTCCATTGTTTTCGGCTTCTTTGACCAAGCCGAGGAAACTTTCGCTGCCATGGACACCGCGCTGTAAGTAATTCTTCAGCTTCATGCCAGTGCCGCCCCATTACACCACACCATTGAAAAGTGCCCACCCTCCATAGCTCTCTCTTTATAAAAGACGGCCAACCATACGTTCTCAGGGACGGCTGGCGATGGTTAAGAACAACGATGCCATATATCAAGATGGGGATAATTATCTAACATGTTCCATTCTCGGACATCTAGTGCCGAGAAGAACCTTGAGGAGCTATCATCTCTGGGACACTTCTTGAAAGGCTCATCCGCAACCATCGGCCTCACAAAGGTACGAGATGGCTGCGAACATATCCAAAGATATGGAAAGCTAGAGAATATCGACGGATCATCGGAGCCCGACGAGGATCTATGCCTGGAGCGCCTGACCAAGGCGATTCAAACCGTCAAGGAAGATTACAAGGAGGTGGAAACGGTCCTCAGGAAGTACTATGAGCAATTCGACTCGTAACAAGGCAGCGCCTTGTATCGGGCGATACCGAGTGCCCTGGGATTACGCCTCCCGTTTTACCTGGATGAGCCGAGCCCGCAAGCCAACGAGGAAACGGCCCACGGAACAAAGTCATGGAGAGAACGACAGCGGAAGGTCGTGCATTCCTGCATGTCCATTCTCCGGCCATCACCGTTCAAACTTCAGAGGGCAGGTTTCAGGAGCCTTTCCACCCAACCCAAACCCCCGTTTGAACATATCTGGCCATGACGCATGTCGCATAACCGACGATTTACTTAATCTTCTTTTCTTCTTTTTCGCCGTCTCAGCTTGGAGAGGAAGGCTAGGGTAGGGAAATAACGGCCACGGCAGGGTTAAAGCTATGGAGTATTGGAATTAAAAAAGCCAAGATGCGCGCATGCGCTCTGCTCGCGGAATCGCAGCATGCGACCGACCACGTCGGAGTTTGTTCTTCTGTGTTCATTTCGTTTTTTACTGCATACCCGGCGAACCCCCAAGGGAAGGAGAGTGGGAGTGTGGTGCCAAGCAGTCCTTTCCCAAAGACAAATATAAGACATAGATTCATATGGGCAGTGGTGAATGTGAATGCGACGCGGGCGTGATGTTATGCGAGATGCTCTAGGATGTGACCAACTTCCCGGGCTTCAGCCAACGGGCAGGCATAGGTATGACGCAATCCCGAATTCTATTCTTAACTCGAGTCTATCTAAAATCAAAGCCGTAATACGAGAAACGGCACAATGGGCTCAGCCGTATCCCCGAGCCACCATCAAGAAGAAGATTGATGAAGAAACCGGTCTGCATAGCATCACCCATCGCATCCAGCTCTTACCACCAGAGAAGCTGGCCCGTGTGGGGTCCAAGCTGCGTTGGCGAGCTGACACTGCTGTCAAACTCCCGTCCCGTCCCTCGAAATAGACAAAAAAATGTCCACCTATCAACTCTCCCGCCCCCAAAAAACATCCATTCTGAAACTGATTGCATCATAATTACGAAACAACGCAGCGCAGTTGTGATTTGTTTGCTTAGGCGTTACAATCACGTGAGCCTCCGTCGAACACGAGCTCTGGCCCATCCAACTTTGTTCTTGATGTAGGTGATACCTCTACTGGATCCCAAGCCCTTTGACTTTGTTGGCTTTTTGCCTCCGTCTGCAGGTGCGATGTTACGTGGTTCCATGGACCCTCCTTTTTGGATGCTCGCGTGGCCTAGATGACGATGCTTTTCTGGACGTTGCTTCTGAAGCTTGTGAGGCGATGAACGTTGTAGCATTGTTTTGTGTCTGAGATGTAGTTGCATTTGTATCTTTCAGCTGCTAACTTGAGGGTTACAGAGGGACTCGCACCGGGGGGCTACGGAGAAGGGTAGAATACAACAGGAGCACAAACCGTTATTTCAAGATAGCTCCTTTCTCTTGAACGGACAACTCCATCCTCAATACCTCAGCCAGGTAACCCGACTGAGCCATCTTGTCGTTCATTGGACCCTAAACTTGGCCAGTTCCCTCCACAGAAAAGGAGATGCCGCCCCGGCCAGCCCCGACGCACTTCCTGTGCATCCCGCTGTCCGGCCCGCAGCTGGCGCGCACCCTCTCCTCCTTCCGGGCGGACGTGACGGACCCAAACAGCTTCAACGTGCACCCGCAGGCCGTCCGGCCGCTGGGGACCATGCACCTCACCCTCGGTGTCATGACGCTCAAGGGCGACGAGGCGCTCGGGCGGGCGGCGGACCTGCTCAGGGGGCTCAGGCTCAGGGAGATTCTAGACCAGGCGCGGGCGGCGAACAACGCGGCTAGAGCAATGGGACAGCAGGAGGAGGAGGAGGGCGGTCCGGGGCTGACGGTCACGCTCCAGGGGCTCGGGGCGATGCAGTCCCCGTCGAAGACGTCGGTGCTATATGCCCCCCCGCTGGACCCGGCGGGTCTGCTGCGGCGGTTCTGCGAGCTCGTGAGGGGCCGGTTCCAGGAGGCCGGGGTGATGGCGCGGGAGGAGAGGCCGCTGCTGCTGCACGCGACGGTGGTCAACACGATCTACGTCGGGGACAGGAGCTTGAAGAGGGTGGCCATGGATGCGAGGGACCTGATGGCCAAGTATGACGGGCACACCTGGCTGGAGGACATGCCGGTGGAGAGGGTGACGCTGTGCAAGATGGGGGCGAAGAAGGTTGAGGGGGGGCTGGGGGAGGCGTATGAGGTTGAGGCTGAGGTTGAGTTTTAGACTTGGTTTCGAGGTGGGTGTAGATATACGATGGTCTGCTTGATGTTGATATCTTCCCCGTTCGGAGATCTGTATATCGTAGCATATTTGAAGCTGGTGATATGGTTTCAGAAGTATTTCTGAATGTTACTTCTATGAATCTAGCATACGAATCAGGTCTGGCTTTATTGGATAGACATATTTAAGAATCATTCATTCGAAGAAGAACAAAGGGTATGCAAAGCCTTGAAAGAATATATCTTGTATCTGGAGGTTTCTTGGGAAAGTAATGAATAATGCATTTCGTCTATGGATCAGGGTTATTCCAATTATTCATTCAACTTCTACTTCTCAGTACACTTTAAATTTGCGTGATGGTGATGGTGTTCGCAGACGGCCTGGTACATGGGGGCACAGGGATGAAGGTGGTGAGAACGAGAGTCACCACAGCTATCAATGAACAGGGGCGAACAAGTCCAACAAACAACGATATTCAATTGAATTCCTAATCTTTTACATCAGCCTCAATAATGCCATCTTTTGAAAAGTCCATGCTGAACTCAAAGCCGGCACACAGGGGCGAGAGGGTGAGGGGCAGTAGCTAGACCAAGTAGGAAATTATCCCGGGGCTTATCAGGTCCATTTGCGATGCAGCATCCATGTTGCATACGGCCAATTGACCTTGCAGATCTGACTGGACCTCGACTCTAGGCAGCAGCAAAAGGCTCTGCGGAATCCCGTCTTTCCACACGATGATAGCTGCATCTCGCGTGTGCTCTCCACGGCCTTAGTCCCCAATCAGCTGACCTCGATACGGGCTGCATAGTCGAGGTGACCTGCGTGAGACGAGAAGCCCCGCCCGGCCGCGAGCACAACACCAACCGCAACGACGACTACGACGCACACGGGTGGAGTTGGAGATCAGAGGGACCGGCCCAGGGACCCAGGGAGAGAGTCAGTCAACAGCGTGTTCCAGGCAGGCAGAAGGCTCGCTGCCCCTTCACCACGTCCATCGCCACCAGCAGCCGAGCACAGAGGACAGACAGTACGAGCTCTCTCGCCCTCGGCCACCGCATTGCAGACCGTAGCCACCATGCCGAGCCGTCATCATCTACGGCTTCTCCCCGCCTTCATCTCGACCTGACCACGGATGAGCAGCCTCCCAGACCGAAACCTAGAATCCACTACGATAGTTCGAGCCTGCTTGCTCAGCCCCGATATCGAACCCCACATCAAACCACCTCCTCCAACAACCCGACACTGGGACGGCGGATAATCCATCCCCCCCAGCCCCTCGAAGGTCACCCATGAACCCGCCTGACAGGCGGCGTGGAGGCGGCGCCCACGTACTGCGTGCTGGTCCTCACTCGCATCACACGACGCGGCAGCGCGCCGGCTCAAAGGACAAGGACAAGGAAAAGGAAAAGGACGCCAGCATGAAGGATGGCACCTCGGCGACCAGCAACAGCATGCCCACCGTGCCGCCCCGTGCCGCCGTCATCAGCCCGCCCTCGCCCAGCCACGACGACTCCCTCGACGGCAGCGGGGGCGTCACGCTGTCGGACCGCAAGGAGAAGGACAAGGAGGCCAACAAGGACAAGGACGGCGGCGCCAGCCCGACGCCGGGCAGCGGCAGCGGCAGCAGCAACCCCAACCGGCGGAGCATGACCCTCAAGGGCAAGCAGCCGCAGCAGCAGCTCCGGGACCGCGATGCGGCGGCGGCCCTGAGGGACAAGGACGAGCGCATCGCGCACCTGGAGAAGGAGATGGGCATCATGGAGCACGAGTTCCAGAAGGAGCTCGACAAGCTGAGCCAGAACGAGAGCGAGATGGCCACCTTCTGGCAGGCCAAGTACAGCGCGCTCAACCAGCAGTTCCTGCGCACCGACACGGAGCTGAGGCTCCTGCGCACCGAGGCCGAGGTCCGCGAGCTGGAGCGCGAGGAGCTGCGCAAGGGGTGGGAGGTGCTGCGCCGCGAGCTCAAGCAGCGCGACGACGAGATCAGGGGCCTGCGCGGCCAGGTGCGCGGCCTCAAGGAGTTTGTGAGCACGAGCACCCGGACGGACGATCAGACGAGCGACGAGGTGTTTGGGGAGGGCATGACCAAGCTAGGGAATGGGCTGCAGAACTGGGTTATTGTCAATTTCAGAAAGGCCAAGATGGGTAAGTATCTTCCATTGCCATTGAGGAGTCCTATTCTTCAGCATTGGGGCCAGATGCTAAACGGAAAATCAGATTTAGGCAAAGCCGACGAGGCTACAATGACGGAGCTGGGCGACCTCGTGCCCATGTTCGAGGAACTTGTCCATACCTCCAAGGTGCACCTCCTCCAGTCAATAGTTTCCAGCATTCTCGTCGAGATGGTGTTTGATACATACTACGTCGGCATGTCCAAGGAGCAGCGGAATAGCTTCCGTGAGATGGAGCAGCTCCTTTTATCATTCAGTAAGTCACCCACGCCAAAGAAACGACACACTCACCGTCCATGATAAACACACCGTGCTGACAAGAACTTTCAACCAGCTGCGGCCGACGAAGCCGTAAACCAATGGCGAGCCTCTACGCTCTCCCTCATCCGCCGTGAGGCTCCCCACCGTCTCTCCGAAGAGACTTCCGCATGCGTTGAGCAAGTCATCTCCCGCATAAACCGTCTTCTCGACGCCATAACCACCCAAACATCTTCTTCTTCTTCGTCATCCTCCACCACAGCCACCAATAATACATCAGAGAACCGGGACAACGCACTCCGCGTCCTCGTCAACAACTCCATCGAGCTAGCCCGCCTCCTCGCCGTCCAAAAGGCCATCCTGCGCGTCCACACCCCGACCATCGTGCCCCACCAGCGCACCCTCTTCGAGCCCAGCACCATGGAGGACATTGGCGGCGAGGACGAGGACACCCTCGCCGAGAGGGACATCTCCTGCGTCGCGTTCCCCGGCCTGATCAAGCAAGGGGACGAGAGCGGCGGCCACCTGCAATACAGGAACGTCATCACCAAGGCCCGGGTTCTTTGCAGCCCGGAAGAATGAGGGGATGGATGATGGGAACAAACTCGTATTCAGAATCATAAGAAACCAATTTACCCGCGTTTTGCAATCAGCCGGAAGGGCAAAAGCCCACGATTCATTCGCAGGAATCATAGCTTGAGGAGGACTGTTTTGGCTAGCATCCTCATATAGGCCTCAGCTCTGGTCGTTTTAACCAACGGGTATAAAATTATCTTAGGTTGAGAAACAACCATCACCTTGCGCAGCAAGGCAAACCAAGGTCCGGCCCAAACCCACCAGCGTCTTGGGACTGATTCTCCCACCCAGTCTTGAACAACAGAAGAAGATATTGCATCACATGATAGACAGGCCCCAGAATACCATAGAGCAGGTAGAGAATCTGAATTTTATTCATGATCTAGGCACACTGTTGTTTCAGGTTGACCACAGGATAGGAACACCAAAGTGCTTAAACATTTTTTTACGGCAGGTATTGATACGTCACCATGCGCCTAGGTAAACTCACCTCGTGAGCTCGCATGCCTACTGTACACGCAATATAGATACCTACTCATCACATGTAATCCGTGAGCCTGTTTCAGTTAAGCCCACGGCAGTGCGAGCCGGATAAATCATGCTGTCAGCGAATTCAACCTACCTAGCCAGTAGGCTTTGCAGGCAGCAGCCCCCATGATGTCTTAGTGGGGGTTTCTGTCGTTTTTACACTTCGATCTATAATTATTCGTACAGCCAACAGAGCACTTGAGCAGCAGGGGTCCTCCACACGAGCATGGTTCTAAGCTCTTTAAACTGTTAGCAAAGACCCCTCTCTGATGTGTTAAAGTGGGGGAATTGAAAGGTATCTCAGCTTGACAGGGTTCCTGTCTGTAAATTGTCGTTTCCCCCTCTCTGTTGGCGCCGTGAATTATTCTCGTTGTCGCTCGACGCGGGCCGAAGCGTCACCAGGCAGTACCGGTGGTGGCTCACACAGTTGTGTCCACCAGAATCTGGCGCTTTTCCGCTCTGGTTAGGAACAGGAAAGTGCTTCGTAGTCGCTCCAGTTCTCGTATTTATTCGATTTCAATCCATCGGCTGCGTATACGATGGGATACTCGAGTTCGTATGCCGTCATAACGCCTTTGGGGTTTCATTCGGGATCGGTAATGTGTATGTAAGTCTAAAGGGCGAGCGGCAAAGGAGACAGCGGTCGTCGATCCCCATGCAGTGCATTTCACCACATTTTTTATCTTTAGGAGGCAGATGGGTGAGCTGATGCATGTCAGCGGGGTACCTATATACAGCGATTAGACACCCCTCCCCAATTCTGAAAGAAAATAAAAAACCCCCAAGAAGAATTGTCATGATACTCTTCTATTCGCCAAGCGCCCAATCGAGAAGAGTCGCGTGCTGAGTACCCGAAATCAACGTCCGGCGACGTTGTGCTCTGGATCGTTTTTCCGCTCTTCCTGTTCTTCGGGCCTGGGACGATAGCCACGGTCGCCGCCGTCGATCGTGCCACTGGGCGTGCGTGTCGTAGCCATTAAGCCAACCAGGATCAAAGCGGCCGCATGTCGTGCGGCCCAAGAGGACAGCTCCCGCTACTTTACAGTGAATGCTGTTCACGCCCCTCAAAAGCTCCCCATCGCTCTCTCTAGTGTGACTGAAGAGATTCAACACTCCCTCAAGAGTATATCTGGACGAACATCAGCTCCTTCACATTCTGGGTAGGTCGAAGCCTGGAGCTTAGATAACCAACTCAAACCCCACGGGGCGGTAACAGAACAAGCCCAGAGGAATCTGTAAGTTTGCCATGCGCCGTCTCCGCCAAATCGTCACTGTTCCTTCACGAGACTGACGAAAAAAGTCGGAGACGTAGCACGCATAGCCGAATCCCAGCTCCCGCCCAACGAACTATTCCAACTCAACATCACAACAAACATACCTCCTCCAACATCATACCAACCCCCCTGAGCCGAATATTTGTATATAACACCATCATAAATCCGGCCGCGTCCTCGAGTGCTCCCCGAACGAATCGTGACTAGGGGCAGGCACCGAGCTTCCACCATGGTGTCTCAGTCGGCAGGCTCGACTCCAACAGCGCCGCAGCAGGGATTCGTAGATGCGGCAGACATCTACAGCCTTATCAATAGTATTCCGGATCGACAGCAGTTAGGATCTCACGCCGTAGATCCAATCACTCCCCGTCCTGTTTCCTCTGAACCCATGCCCTATTGCCCTTCAGACGATTCGTCATCCACAAGCACAGCTGAAGAAAAGTCCGTATTCAGCGAAAACACCTCTGCATTCACGCAAGCCACGTCTTCTTCAGGTTGGGAAGATGGCGCCTCTGTTTCAGTCGGCGCTCAGGCTCTGGCTTTGACCTTTGCTCAAACCTCCGCCCTAAGCCTACCAACCGAAACCGATCACGGCTCGCGGTATGAAGAGACAGATGGGGTAGAGCCCCTTGCGGATACAGCACGACTTCCATGCGAGTTGGGAAAATATTCCGAAAAGCATTGGATATGCGATGAAACGTTTGCTCTCAATGATATCGAAGGGTGGGTTGACCACATAGCGGTAGAACATTTCAAGCATAACTACCCGCCGAAATCGACCTGCTGGTTCTGCGACGGCAAGAAGGTCGAATTCTTCACCGAATCAGTAACCCAAGAAGATCGGAAAAGAAATTTCCATCGGCGTATGGAACACATTGCGTGGCACTACCAGGGGGCGAACTGGGAGAGGCTTCGTCGAAGACCTGACTTCAATGTAATCAACTTTCTTCTAGCGAAAGGTTTGATCAACAAGTCGATGAAGGCAGAGTCCGAAGGGTGGAGCGAAATCGAGAAGCCGAGATGGTGGCGGGACGAACCCCCGAAGACGGCTCACGTCGAACGCCGGGAAGGGGGGTTAGCCGTCACCCACCAAACTTGCAGAGGGCGAAGAGAACGAAGGGTGGTGTATCATAATTGAGGTTGATGGCAGACACGCCCAAGTGCAGAGCTGGCCCCTCAAGTGTGACACCAGGTGGTGGTGGTGAGGTGAGACAGGATTTTCTTTTCCTTCTCTGTTTTCCTTCATGATGATACGTTGCCGTTGTGTCGATGTGACGTCTCCTGCTGTTCGTTCCATTCCACGGAGAACACCTTGCCCCGGTGCACAAGACGCGAAAAAGGCAGGTGACCTGTTTGTGTTTTGATCGGGACAGGAGATATGGTCGTTTTGATATGGCTCAATACCAGGGTTGATGGTCGTTCACGGCGGTTCCTTTCAGCTATACCCCAATACGTTTTCAAAAAAAAGTAATACCAGCATGACAGTCCTTTAGGGAAGAGAGAGATCGTATTTTTTTTGCGGAGGTGTTTCCGATTTGCTTCCTCTTCTTCTTTCTCGATTTTTGGAGAGTCGGACACGTGGTAGAGGAGGAAGTTTGGCCCGTCGAGAATGTCGAGGTCGTACATGGGCAAGGCAAAGGCAGGCACGACCGTGAACGCCGATACGAACACTTGGAAGGAGCGGACCCGGCGCGTGGGCCGCTGCAGTGGTACCGCGTTTTTGTTTGCCTTTTGGCTCCGGTTTTATTTTCATTCATCTCTTCGTTTTTCGCCGTTGTTGATCAAGGCAAAGTTTTCTTTAGTTTATTTTTCCTTTCCCAGGAAGGAGGGCGGTTGGGAGGTTGGCGCAGTTGGCCCCAGATTGATTGGTCGGCACATGATATTGGACACTTCAGACTGTGACGAGGGAAAAATTGGATAAGAATCTCATCTCATTTTGTCATTGGGTCCTTTACCCTGGTTTATTAAATCGCGGGACCGAGAGAGAGCATGTGATGCTCGTGGTCCAGGACGTAGTTGTGCACAAGGAAGACAACGCTGACCAGTGACCATGTGTAAGACCTATAAGGAGTCAGGGCTCATCGAATCAGAAAGTTTCTCCCTTTTTTAAGGGGGCGGTTTTTGAGTGGCCATGCCAGCTGAAAAATATCCCGGTTTGGGTGATTTTGCTACGAGTCACGTATGCAGTTTGGTGTGGCTGAGCCCTCCAGTGGCAAGACACATACGAGGGAAAATTCTCGCTCGTTGATCGGGCGAGCCCGCAAGCAAAAATGATTCATGCTGCTGACGAAGTGGTGGTACATTATTCATCCATACAATTCGTGAAGCAGACCAGCTTTTGACTCATCGAGGTCCATGGTGGGTGGCAACGCCAGCCTCAGTCGGCGTCCGCCTCGTTTTTCTAGTCATTGATATGCAGCTACTGATCGAGGGGTGCACTTGCGACCGCCTCACCGGCCGTGATACTATACAGCCCATAAACTACCTTGGATGACTCCCGCCTTCATAGCTTACAATATGCTCAGCCTGAAATCCCGGATTTCTCTGTCTGATGCCCACCCGGGCCTGCCGCCTGCTTCGCACTCGCCTCGACTGAGAGCAGGTGGGTTGAAACCCGATGAGCCTTTTCTTTGCCCCCCGTCGTCTACGTCCCAATAAAGACAGATCAATTTTCTTATAGCTTACTTCATACTTGAGCCACTTTTTCGAGCCGGGAAGATGTATGTTCAGAGTTGGCAGAGCGACCAAGGTGAGCTTCTTGACGGGTGCATGGGGGAAATTCCCTTCCATCTCCGCCATGTAGATCCCTGGTAGTGTAAATCGTACCTTTCCGGGTGCATAGTGTTTTAGAATGGCCTCCAGTCTCTCCCTTTGGTCCGGCGTCAGAGCGGCACGGAAAGCTTTGGCGTGCTCCGGAGCGAACGGCCGTATGTAGAATCTATCCGGTAAAAGGCTCTGGATTTGTATCCAATACCGGCCATCCCACAGCCTCGCAGTAGGAAATCTTCGCCATCCCGACCAATTCGGGTCTTTTTCGAACCTCCGGGTAGCAGTAATACCCTCTCTCCAGTCTATCCATTCCTCAGGAATAGGTTGCTTGGACGGATAGGGGGCTCGTGAGAGAAACCATTTAGCGGGTGACGATCCTTTGATTGGGTCGAAGAGCACACCGCCAAGAGAGAATGATGTCGACGGGGAAGCGGTTTGTGCAGGGCCAAGCTCGGGGAAGAGAAGGAGAACGACGTTGTCAAGGTTCCCGATCGGAGGCAAATTCTCGTTCGGTGTAATGTAATCAATCATCTTCCGGATCGCCAATGCGGCAATTAGTTTCTGTTGCGGCTTTCTTGCCTCAACCCGGGGGCGATCATACAACCTGTTCCGCGGCCGCTTGTTCCGGTTCAACGTAGGTGGTTGAATAATCAGAGTGCCAGAACAAGGATCGAACTCGCGTATTATGGCCTCGCGTATCAGCAAACGATTGGCCTCCGAGTCTTCTAGATCTACTCGCCGTTTTGCACTTCTGGCTAGGGATAAGATAGCGGGTTTCTGTAGGGCGGCTGGCAATGTGTGATGTTGCACCATATGTCTGACGGCATTGCGCATGGTCAAGGTCTTGTCGGAATTTGTCTCATCCTCAAACCATGAGACATCGTTCGCTTCGCATGTCGCGATGAGCCTATCCTTATCAAACTCGAGAAGGGGTCGGTAGACCTCAACGCCGCCATCTTCACTCTGCAAGGGGGTCAAGTATGGAACACCAGGCTCTCTCTCGTGAGGGATGTAGCCGTGAAAATGCATGGAATCGATCGATTTCCAGCCGATAGGTACTTGATCTTCCTCGCCCCTCTTATCATCTTTCAGGCGGTGTCGGAGCGAACGCAACACCTTTACTGATGGTTTGAAGCTGAGATAAGGGTGGGGAGACTTTTGGTCGTCGAGCAAACCGCTTTTGTGAGTATTGTGCATGCCGTAGCATTCCGGTATGTCATTTGCTTCTCTCATTCCCTGCAGGCCCCGATATCCGTGTCCTGACAACAGACGCATCAGTACTGTTTCATACTGGTCGTCGCGGTGGTGAGCTAGGAAGATGCTGGAGACGAAACGCTGTCGGCAGGTCATTCCCAACTGCCGGTATCGTCTTGTACGTGCTTCACTCTCGATATTGGGCAAGTCATGGGGTTCCATGCCAGCCTCGCGCACGTCCTTCCACTTCAAAACGTTGCGAATGCCATTAAGGCCCAACCTGTTGAGCTGGCGGAGAACTTTCATGGACTCCAAGTCGCTCCCTTCTCGCAAGCCATGATCAACCACGATAGCATGAGCACGGCTCGCGGGGTAGTCGGCAATCGTATAGTTGGGAAACATCTTTTGGAACTTGGAAAAGAGGAACGCGAGCGCCATAGAGTCGACGCCACCGCTAATTGCTAGGGCTACAGTCCCGTTAGCCATGAGGGTACTCAGTATCATGACCGACATCACATGGACGCACCAGGCCAGCGAGTCCGGCCCCAGACAGCCGCAGGGAATCTGGGGCGGCATATCGCGTCGAGGGCATCCTTGAATTCGATTATGGACACAGGCTTGGGGACACTGTGAAAGACCTGGGCGATCTGGGCCGGCGTTCCCATTACCGAGAGGTGCCTAGACTACAGGCACCGTGACCGCGAAGCCATACAATCGGCGAGACAGACTACTCGGTGCGGAAGGTTGACTTTCCCAGCTGGGAGAGCTTGGTGGAGGACCGAGCTCGATGTGCCGCTGCCAACCGCGAAAATTTACTGGAGAGCTAAGCTCCAGCTGTGGCGGGGATGAGGTCATTAGTGGCTGTGGCAGGTCGCTGTAGGAGCTTGAAGGAGCTGTTGGTGGCGTTTGAGTGCCTAATTGCCGGTAACCTACGATTAACGTTATCATTACCTCCTTCCTTGAGTCGTGGTATAGCCAACAAAGAAAGATAGGCAGTGGCTGTCCTAGCATTTATTCCTGTAATCTACTCTTCTCCCATATGTAGTTCCTTAATTATCACCCTTACCAGAAGATCCGGCGCTTCAATCTCCGTGTACTCACCTGGCACCCGGGTACGTAACCAACTAAAACACCCGGAGCCACCCACAAGCCCCTAGCTCAGGCTCAGGGCCACAGACGGCACGAGGCTTCACCCACGAATGGATTGAATTGCCACCAGCCAGAGTCCTGGTCCTTGAAAATGAACAGCCATCAGGATCGGTGCCCCCATCAAGGGGACGATCCTTTCCGTCTCCTTACCCAGCGCCGTTCTGCCTCCTGACCTACCAATCGTTATCTCCAGCCAGATACCAAACACCTCTGATTGACAGATCCGGCGTTCGCTGCGTTCATACAGCCCTGGCCTGTTGCGAATCTATAGCCAATATTCCCCATCGTCTGCGCGCCTGCTTCTGAAGCCTGTTTCACCAGTTCACGGGAGCATGCGCGGTTTGTCCCGCGCGTCTCAGAGTCGGAAGGGAGCAACGCACACACTCTAAGTCTCTAACATCACAGGGCTCCTCGCCTGTCTTGGCTTCAAGGGTCCAAACGTTAGACATCCAGTCACCTGCCCCCGAGACAGCGGAACCCGGCGAGCTCAACGTCTCAGCGCCCCTCCTTCTCCGCCAACCAATCTGCCGCCGCCGCCATGCAGGTCGCTTGGAGCCGCCGACATGTGATGGCCAGTCGTTGGCCAGGGTCTGCCCGTCCCCATGGATCTAAAAACCTGCACAGCACTTGCGGCAAAACTTGGGCTCGCAAGGCAGATTTCCAGATTTCCAGCGTAGCTTAGTGCAGCCCCTAAGCCTATCGATCCGTAGTGCGCCCATGGTGATCCCACACCAATCCGGCAGAGCTTGACAAGCTCCCACTGAAGCAAGAACCAACAGGATGGGAGGCATGTAGAGCCGGGCTGTCTACAGTGACAGAGGCGGAGAATTCCCCGGCTGCTATTCTAGGCCAGTCACGCACCACCCAGGGGCGCAAAGCCCTGCGAGACAATTGGTAAGATACCTATCGTGTGGGCTCCCAGCTCCTAGACTGCTGGCAAGATCATAGGACAAGCACGCACTCTCACGCTCGACAGGGGTCGTTGGAGATATGGAGGTCCTTTGTCTTCATTCACTGGGGTGTGATTTGTCCGTGGCCAGCCGAGCTTCGGACGTCACGCCCTCACGTTGCCCATCCCAGATGCCGGATCTTTCTTCCATCTCTAATGTTTCCTGGATCTTCTTCTTGTGCGCGTGTCTTGTCTCGACGTTTCTGCACCGCATAGCCTTGCCTGCGCGACGTGTCCGTCCAATTGCATAACTCATTAATACAGTTTGCCCACACCTGTGTCCCAGACTCGAGAACGCACCAGGCTGCCTTGTTTACTTTCCCCACCACAACCTAGTTGTTGCCCCCCAATCCGCAAGACCGCAAACGCACCTCATCCATCATTCATGCCCGCTTTACTCACCTATTAGATTGCGCCAGCCAGCCCACGACATTCGCTGCCGCAACCACCTCTCCCTCTTCTGATGTAGTGGACCTCAGACTTGTTGCGCCAAATGGTCTCCCAGCCAGAAACTTCGAGCTCAGTCTCCTACCGTGGTCCCTCGTCCGTCGTCTCCCGCCCGTCCCTTTCACGCACGAAGCGATACAACCGTTCCCACGTCGGCGGCGCCTCCTATATTCCTCAAAATGAGTTCCCGATCTTCTCTCAGAGCGGCGACGTGGAGATTGTCATTCGGGTGACTGGCGGTTCGGTCGAGAACAGATATCTGCTGCACCGCCATACCCTGACCAGGTGCAGCGGTTTCTTCGAGGCGAGCACCTCTGAGCAATGGTCCAAGGCACGTCCGCTCCTTGCTGGGGGCAATGAGCTGGCAAGGATAGGAGAGCACGATACCCCCACCGGTTCTCTCATCGACAGCGACACAGAGAGGGGAGATAGCAAGCGCACGCCAAGGAAGCGGTGGAAGTATGTCCTGGACATGGGTAAAGACGACAACGATATCCCCATGCTGGTGCAGCAAGACGAATCGAGAGACGCGCCCAGAACAAAGGTTCCCTCTATATTTGGACCCGGAGATGACACAATGCGGCCATCGAGCCGCGCCATGTCAAGGTCAAAAGGAAGCCATTCACAGTCCGCGTCGGTATCATCAAACCGAGACTTTTTCCGCTCAGTCGCGAATCTGGGGTCCAGTACGAACGGCCACCATAATTCCTCATCATCATCCTCATCCGGCCTCGTAACCAAAGCCGAACAAGATCTCATGCGCGATTACGACAACCTCTTCCGCACCATGTACAATTATCCTCCCGTCCTAGACGGCATCAATGTAGCCGATGCGTACGTTCAATGCAAAAGCCTCCTGAATCTGGCCGACCAATACGACGCGCTTGGGGTTGTTGGCCCCAGAGTCGATCACCATCTTCTCCAATTCCAGTCAAGGTTATGGAGGCAAATAGCTAAATATCCCATCTCATACCTGCGGCTTGGGTATTTGGCGAAGAGCAAGGTCATATTTCAGGAAGCCCTGATCCATGTCGTCGGCCAATGGCCAGCTGGTGAACGGAGCTTACGCACAGCGCTGCCGGAAGTGGTGCTGGATATTATTGAGGACAAAGTCGACGAGCTCGAAGAAACTGTAAGCCGAGTTGAAGGTAGGCTCTTCCGGCTCGGCCTCACTACAGGACGGGGCGAGCGAGTCACCCCACAAACGAATTATTTAGACTGGCTTGCCGTCAGTCTATTCCGGCAATGGATTGCAGATAACACCGCACCTCAACCTCCTCCTCCCGACCGTCGGCCGTCGCGAGATGGCCGTGCACCGCTCCCCCCTTCTATTCCTCCCCTTACATCCATCGGACGTGCCTATCGCACATTGGGTTCTTCACAGCCAGTCTCATACTTGAACCACGACGAATGCAAGAAATTTCTGAAACTCACACCAGAAATGTACACTCGAGACAATCTTCGGCGTTTCGAGAAACGTATAGAAGAGCTCAAGTCCATGGCCCGAGACATTGTTCGTCCGCTGATGAACAGCGGGCTTGAGCTGGAGCTTAGCGGCTCAAGCAAGGCGGCAGAGATCTCCTATCTGACGTGCACAGAAGTCGGAAACAGGGATCTCCCGTGGGCCATTGAGAATTAACAAAACTTCCAGACTGTGATATTTGTATTTCTCTTTTTTTTTACTCTTTTTTTTACCAGTTAGCTCTTCCATGAGGCTAATCCAGGGACGGAGTCAGTGCGTATATGAACGGCAAGGGGCGATATACCAACGATGCATGACTACTAATGACCGTTTTTTTGTTTATTTACTTTTTTTAAGATATGATTGGATGGATACCCTCTGAGCATTTTTGTTCTCTTCGGCGGTCTTGTATGGGAAGGAAGAACCTGATGTACTGAGTCAAGGAAACCCCGGTACAAACACGAGACAAGCGGTCCGGTTTTTGTTTTTTGCGGAGGCCAATTTGCAACTTCGTGGCGATTTTTGTATTGAGATGGGGGGATATAGCATGAATACTAAGCGAATGTATGTATGTACAATTCATCGTGACGTTTACTGTTTTATAAAAGCTCTCAAAAAGAAATACTAGATATGAAAAACAACCACTAAATAACAGTGAGCAAACGCCTTCTTCACCCCTTTCCAAAATATTATGCGGTTTAGTTCGTAGCTTAGCAGTGAAGAGTAGATTCTGGTTTCCCCAGCGTGCCGTATGGCTTGTAAGCTTGTATCATTCATCATTTCTCATCGTCTTTCGTCCCTCTCAAGACTTTCTCCTTTATCGTTTCCTCCGCCTATCCTTTCAACACCTTCAGATCTTCCACCTAGAAGATAAGATAGCAAAGTATCCCCCCAACGCGGAAAAGGGGAGGTCTTAGTTCTCGCCCACCACGAAATCCTGGTTACCCGAGATGCTCTCGACGCGGAGGTCGGAGTGCCCATCGCGGCCCTTGTAGCCCTCGAGGATAGCCATGGGCAGCTTCCCCCTGCGTGTCACCTCGAGCCCTTCCCCGTGGAAGCGCTGGTTCCCCGACACGGTCTGGGCCTTGAGGTAGCCCTCCCAGGCGGAGGGGTAGCGCAGGTGGATGTCGCCCGAGACGGAGCTGTGCGAGGAGTAGAGCGTCAGGGGCCGGGCGCCGTGGATGCCGGAGGCCTGGTTGGAATCCGGGTTGGAGTCGCCATCTTCTTCGCCCGAGGAGGGTCCGCCGATGAGGGGCGGGTAGCCTATCCAGGAGGGCGAGGACGGGTAGACGGGCAGCCTGGCGGCGGAGCCCGTGGCGGCCCAGTGGGGCTCGTGGAGGTCGAGGGTCGTGTCGCCGCCCTTTGTGTCCGTGGCGACCTCGGGCCCGATGATGGTAGACTGCTGGGCGTCGTGGAGGAGGGGCCAGAGGTCGACGTTGAGGTTACCCGAGATGGAGTAGAAGCGGCCGTACGAGGTGAAGGCGAGGTCGGCGGTGACGTCGCCCGACTTGGTCTCGACGGCCACGGAGTAGTCGCGGGAGGGGAAGTCGCCCGAGTCGGGGGATGCGAGGGCCGCCTTGATCGGTTCCCTGACTACGAGGTTGCCCGACATGGTTGAGACTGATAGCTCGGCCGGCTTGGGGTCCTTGGGCTCGATT